CGCAACGGTAACTTGTATGGGTTTAGTGCAATAATGTTTGTTGACGAAGGTTTGTGCACAATATAGTGACATTCAAGGGGTCGGTTGGGGCAGAAGGCGTTGAGGTGTTTTTGTTGCATAATAAAATGGAATAAAGCCATCAAGAGTAAATGAGTGACATAATGTGGGGTAGTAATGCCACATTATGGTCAACACACATTCGTATATTTTTCGAAACTTGTGTGTATGTGTGACAGTGCATGTGAGCCACATGGTTTGTGTAGAGGTGTAAGAGCATTTACTTCCTTTCTTCTCTTCGTGCGCATAGTTTTCGACACTTTTGTTTGAGGCCATTTCCTTTCATTGTGTAAAGGGCATATAGCGTGGTAATTTGCAAATTTGGTATGCACAACCAAACCTGAAAACTATCTGCATATGCATATAGGCAAATATGTACATATGTATTTACTTATATGCAGTCATGCAATTCGACTGCAGTAGCGCACCTTCCTATCAGTTTTTATTTGCATAGTCTTTATTATTTTAAGTTTAGTTTATTTTTAAAAACATATTTGCGTTACCTGCCCGCTTGATCGGCTAAGGCTTTTCGTAGCAATTATGTTATTTCTGGTTGTTTAATTTATTATCAATTAAAACAAAATATTAAATATATAAAAAAAATGTGTTACCTTGGGAAAATTTTCCATGCACGTTTACATTTAGAGACAAAAGCTCATCGCCAATAACTGAGAACAGGATATATAACATAGTTATATAGAAATAAAACATAACCTACTAATTAATCGAACACTTTTTTGGGCCTTTTTATTCAAAATACTTTTTTGTAGACCCATAGATATAACGGATTTGGTTTTCGACCACAATTCTGAATAATACATTCGTTTTTTTAATCTTTCTTTGGCTTTTGATTTTCAACTAATTAAATTTTTTTTCCCAGTGCTACACTTTTCATAAAATTTATTTTTGACGATAAAACAAGAAAAAGTTTTAACTTTTGCTGCATCGAAACTATAATACCCTAAACAGGTGCATTTTTTAAAGCCTAAAATTTTTACATGTCAGCCATATGCTATAGTGGTTCGACCTGATCAATACTTTTGGTGTTTTTTGCGATAATAATCTATGCTGAATTTCGTGAAGATATCTTGTCAAATAAACTAGCTTTCCATTAAAGGACTTGACTATGACCTTGTAAATAAAACAAAAAAATTTTAATCTTCATCAAAATTTATTTTGTTGCTTTCAAAATATGCTCTGTCTGAAACGTTACACATATGCCACCTCTTTTTCCAATAATCGAAACATGCCTTGTAAGCGCTATCCGGGATCGCCTTCAGTTCCCTCTGCGTATTTTCTTTTACGGCCTCAATCGAGTCGAAACGGGTTCCACGGAGTGGTAATTTGAGTTTCGGAAACAAAAAAAGTCGGATGGGGCCAAATCTGGTGAATACGGTGGTTGATCGATGGTATTGAATGAGTTTTTGGTCTTAAAATCGTTCACAACTACAGCTGGCTGCTTCACGATTTCCTTTGACTTCTTTTATGTTATCGTCAGTGGTAGACGTCGAAGGACGACCGGAACGAGGCATGTCTTCGACGGTTTCTCGACCAGTCGTAGACTTGGGTTTTCGATAGAATAGGTTCATCATTTTTAACATTCGGAATGATTCCGCACACGAAATTTGGTTCGAAACACAATAAATATTTTTTTCCATTGTAAAATCGCAAAACACTACTGGTCGACTGATTTCAACAGCTGCTGCAAGCATACTGGTTGACGAATTGCGCATTTTTACATACTAATTAAGGACAGTGTTACCAACTTAACAAAAAAAAAAATTCTGAAAAATATTCAGCAGTTTAAATGACAATTTCCAGTCACAATGTATATAAGGATATTGGTAACTATAAAAGGTTATGGATCAATTGTACGTACATCGTAGAACTACATTCTCCGCTATCTGTTTAACATGTATTAACCGGTTGAGTTGGTTAAACATAAAATTCGAGACAATTTTAACATTGAATAGGAACTTTACCTGCATTCATCGAACTCAATTCACTGAAACTGGTTATATTAAAAATCAAAATTTCCGTGCGTGGGAAACAGAAAGTCCATTGGAATTATTTGAAAACAAAAATTGACGTCAATACTTCTCGGATGCGTCAATAAAGATATGTGGAAATTGTCTATATAATAATTGGAAAAACTACGCTTATTATAAGATGCTTGGAAAAAAAATTATTGAAATAATTTAATATCTTCCCCTGTTCCTAATATTATGAATATATATCCTGGTTTCCATAGACTAGCGAATTTTTAAGTAGTTATTTCGATTAAACCTTCCGTTCTTTGTTTGAAATTTCAATTGTTTAGAAAATACTTATATACAAGTATCTTGATAAAAATGATGCACTAGCAGAGCTTAACCAGTTATAATATGAAAATATTTTCCATAAGTTGAAATATAATTGATGAATCTATTTAACGGATAATTTTAATAAAATAAACACAAATGAAGTTCTTCGAAAAATATATATAAGTATTTCTAAAAAATTATGCTTGAAGGGTCCATTTGACACCTGTTTGCTTACGAAGCGAAAAGTTTGTCCGGCGATTTTTACAATGGAATATTGGTTCCAATGAAATCACGGCTACCGAATCATTTAAAATGTTGCAGATGTGTTTTGGGAAGTCTTCTTTATCACGAACACAAGTATTTTAGAGGCACAAAGCATTCAGTGAAGGTTAAGTCATCGGAAAATTGTCTCATGGAGATAAAGAAACCGTGCTTGAAAATCGTCGTTTTGGCATCAGAGAGAGATATTAGAGGATCTCAACACTTTTTTGGATCGACTTAACACATTTGGGTTAATATTTTTGGTATAAAACGTCGAGTAGGATTCGCAGATGAGATGATTGACAACGAAGCTACCCTACATTTATCATTCTTGGTGATGAGATGTGGGTTTATGAATACGACGTCGAAATTGTCCAATAATCTAGGAAAAGGCACTTCAAATATAAGCGGAAGCCGAAAAAAACCAGAACTCGCTGAAGGCACTGAAGTCTTAGTTGACAAGTTCGTATTGGCTTAAGAGCGTATTTTAAAGGCGACAATAAAGATTTGTAATAAAATACGGGAAAATATATAGCCTTGACAGACGGAAGCGTTAAAAACTATTAACTACATTATTCGGGATTAATTCTGGAGTAACTACAGCTAACTCCATTGCTAAATCCAAACATAACTATCAAAATTTTAGGGAGTTAGTGGCATTTTCCTTAGCAACATTGTTAAAAATTGACAGCTGTATTGTATTGTGAATGAAAAATAACCAACACTGACACTTGTTTTTTAAAAATAATTGTAATTGTAAACAAGAAAAGACGAATAGAAAGAAAAAGTAAGTAACTTTTGTATTTAGCATATTTCTTTTGAGTCAAAATTATTATATTATATTTTCTTTGTTTCAATTTGAAGTGTCACTAAGAAAGAAGCGTTCAGAATGAACACTCCACGATGGAATGGAGCTGCTGCAATGAATGAAATTGCTAAATGCCAATCAGCTGTTCACTAACTCGCATTGCTGTTGAATGCACTTATAAATTTGGATCTGATTAAGTTCACAGTGAATCGGGATTAACGCTGCCGCCTGTCAAGGCTATTAGTTCTTAATATTTTGCGCTGCTTGTCGCTCACTTCCACGAATTAGTGACACACTTTTATACATTTAAATCGTCTATTTCATGAAAAATGGAAACAGTAATTTTAGTCAGTCTTAGTTCAGTCTTAATTCACTGACCCACTTATGTTGTTGGTTCGATAAACTTAATTATTTCATTATTTTATTTTCCCTGTCCATCCTTTTTATGATTGTTCGCACTTCAACCACAACGCGTACAGAAAGTTTTAATACATTAATTTTTACATTTACCCAACTAACTTATGCCACCATATTTTTTTAACTTTTTTCATTTTCTGCTTTTTTTCTTGCAGCTAAGGGCCGCATACGTGCAGAGCAGCATTAACTGAATCGGAATTGAATTGAAAAGTTTTAATGTGTGCTTGTTTTGTCTTCACCAACATTTGGATTTTATACTCGGAAAAGTTGAGAGCACAATAAAGAACTACGAAAAGACTTGTGCAGGTTCAGAAACAGAAGAGAATTGAAAAGAGAATTGCAACGAGAGCAACAACAACCACTAACAGCACTTAAGCAGGTAAACCATAAAAATAATTAAGCAAAAAACCTAAATTGAAAATATCAACTATATGGGATTGAAACAACAACAATAACTTTTGAAAATAAACGAAGCTCAATAGACTGAAATAGAGTCCAAATATTTTACCGTAATGCAATGCAATTAATAAACATATCAGTAAAAATATTCAAAACGAAAATAAAGATAAATGAAAACACCACTTAAATATAATACCAGTTTACCCTTTTAGTGCAATAAATAGCTTAAATATAGAGGATAATTAAAATATCTACATGCGAAATTCACATTTAACGAAACTTCACCACAAAAACCAAAAAAATTGGGATTAAAATTTGAATACAATTCGACGATGAAAATAGATAATAAATAATACCATTCAAGCTTATAAAATTATTGAATATTAGAATTATGAAAATTTCGTAAACATTCACAAACTAAAATTTATGGCATTAAAATAACTACAAACACAATAAAAGCAACCAAACTAAGAATTCCATCAATATATATTGAAATAACGAAATGTGTGCGAATATAAAAAACCATACAGCACAATAAATGCCAAAAAACAACGACATGAAACATATTTTAAAAACTTTAGCCCCGATCGAAATCGCTCAGCCAAATGCGATAACAAATACTTACGAATAGCTCACAAAAACTGTAAAACGTACAATTGATCACTGGAGTTATTTAATTCAGCTTTCGTTGATGCAAAACCACGATAGGATTTGTAGAGCAAAATGGCTTATAAACATAATGAACGGAAGATATTTGCATTGCTGCTGAAAATAGCAGTAACAAGTGAATTAACGGTAAATCATTAATAATAATCGAAGAAATTATCAACTCACGTGTAAGGACGAGTCATTATCAAATACGAAGGCAAAAAAAGAGCAAAATAGCTATCGAAAAAGCAATAATAACAACACTATAAATAGTTTGTGACTTTAACGTGACTAAAAATCAGCAATGAAATGTTCAGTTTGGTTTACTGGTGTGTGCGTATGGACCATATGAATGTAGTTCGACAACAACAAAATTCAATTTAAAACAGAACAAGAAGAAGCATAAAAAACAAGACGAAAATAATAAACTTAGTGCGTTACAAGTGTTTGCATTTCAATGTCAGTACGCTAATTACACAACACGCGGAATTTTATTCATTTGCGCTAAGAGGTGAGTGGAAAGAGCTAATTGTTAATTTACTAAAGGTGCAAGCATTTTCTTATTTGTGTCTATGAGTTATGATCTGTGGTATTATTGAAAAATGTTTACAATTGTATTTATAAGTGCAATGTTTCCGATGTCGAGCTGCCAAATAATTTTTCTTACTTTTCGATTTGTTGCACAGAGATATATTGCGATCGGCGCTATAGATGTTAAAAGGCTTAAAACTAATTGGATACGTTTTGATCTTATATGTTGAATATCCGTTTTTTTCTTCAGTTTTGTGTTCTTAAATTATTATTTATGATAGTAAAAGTTAAATATTTCAATAATGACTGAAGCAGAAAAAGTCCGAGATTGGGAAATTAAATAATCAAAAAAAAGGAGGAAAAAATAATATCAAATGGAAACTATTTCAGACATTGAATCAAAATTTCAAAGTATGAATATTAAAATGAAGCATTGATAGTTGCTCATTGAAATAACAATGGGCCTAATAAAGAAAACACGGTTTTTTTGTTCAAAACTGGCTTTATTGATCAATATAATCTCCATCAAGAGCAACACAATTATTCCAGCTCCGCTCTAACATTTCAATACCATTTTTGTAGATTAATTTGTCTTTTGTCTCAAAATAGGCCTGAAATTCAGTGACAACCTCTTCATTTGAGCGAAATTTCTTACCGCCAAGGTGAGTTTGAGGTCTGCGAACAACCGTTGCTGTTTTTGGTCAGCAGTCAAAAAACGCAGCATCCGCTTTGAACAGAGCTTTCTCATGGACAAATGCTCATGCAATATAAAGCCAAAACGTTCTTTTGAAATCATTACGATGTCAGCTATGTCACGCAATTTCACTTTCCGATCATTCAGAACGATTTTGTGGATTTTTTTTTTATGATTTCTGGTGTTACAGCCTCATTTGGACGCCTAATGTGGTTTGCATCATTAGTGTCTCTACGACTCTACTCAGCACACCAAAGTTTTATTCTGGTTTCTGATGGTGCAGAATCCCCATAACACTTTTCAAGCCATTGCTTTGCTTGAACGGTATTTTTTCGCATCAAGAAGAAGTGTAAAATTAAGACACGAAATTCTTTATCGTCCATTGTTTTTATAGTAACAAAAGTAGCGTCACTCTTAGCACAATAACTCTCAAAGTAATGAATAGAATGTCATGAAATTAACAGCTATTTTTTTGAAGGTTAGTACTAACTGAAAATGAGCTGAATTTCATTAAGTGTTCAAATTTCCTTTGAATATGAATAATATCATAATCAAAATTATTAAAAATATTGCAGTGTTAAATTATATATTAGATAAATGTGAATGTGACTATTGTCAATAAATTTGGTATTTTCAGTGCTAATATAATTCGAATGCTTCTTAACCTATAGTTACAATAAGAAGAAAAGGAGAATAATGTGCCCTCTTTTAAGAAAAAAAAATGTTAAAGAAGTATCAAATTCGATTTCGATTAATTTAGTTGCCGTGATAAAACTGTACGTCAAAATGGACTTTTTTGTGGGTATTGGACCAAACTAATTTTTCAAAAGACTTAGTAAAAGAAATTAGCTCCAAAATATTTGCATTCGAGTTTGGGAATTTAGTTTATCACGTAATCATATATCATAGAAGAGGGATGAATGATGAACATAACCCTGATGATGAAGACGAAGAAAAGAGTGATGATTCCAAAAACTTTTAAATTTCATTTTCATAAACATATACTTGTAGATATTTATCGTATAAACATTTTTCCCAAAATTTTTATAAAGAAAATTTATAAATACAAACACAATACAATAAAATAGACGTTTAATCGGCGAAAATTCGAAAATCGCTTCAGTAACTCTAAAAATATATATATATCTTTTTTTTTTCGAAGATACCACTTTGACCCTTTAAAGAAGCTGTTGTATATATAAGTTTGATTATTAGATATTATATACCATTAAAAAGCAATATTTCTTAATTTCAAAAAACTAAAATTTAACACAATGAGAACGACGTCAATAAATATAGATAGTTGTAAGGCAAACGCATCTGTTTCTGATGTCATCAAAATTTTTGAAAAATCCTTTCCTTTAATTAAATCATACCATATTTGCTCAAACTTGAAAAGAAACAACATTTATGTAAGTGAAGGTGTCAGTTTGTCATAAGGGAAGGAGACTATGACAGAGCATTTTGTTATTGGATCATGCTTTTGAATAAATATTTACATTAATTAGAAAAAATGTTAAAATTATAAATTTTTATCAGTTTAATAATCTTCAATAATTATTGGTTAGAACAAATTTTAAAAGATCACATTCCATTTTCATAGTCCACTGTACAAAAAGCGGAAACCTATATTTACCATAATCAAATATGGTTTATGGTACATTTTACCATATTTTCAAATCCGATATTGACACCCGAATGAGTAAAAGCTCGATATACATTGTTACCTTCAGAGAGAGGGTGTTAGAATTAATAATTAATTCAATTTTATTATCGTTATGAAATTATTCACTAAAAGTTTATATACAAAGCTGTTTATATATTGTATATAGTTGGTTTATGTACCTAAAGTTATAATTATTGTATTTGTCTATTAAAATTAACCAATTTATAAACGATAAAATTAAATTAAAAAATATAAAGTAATTACCAGAAATGTATTCCTGTATATTTAACCATGCGTGCATATGTCTAACTGAAATAAATGTACATCTCTATATATTTAATAACTGAGGTATATGCACAATTTTAATTGGAATTATAAATTTGTGAAATAAATTGGAAAGGAAAGGAAATCATGTGAAATTGTATTGCATATATTTCGAAGCTTTCATATATATCTGAACACAGGCATAAACCGACTATCGACATCAAACTGTACGAAGTTAATTTAAAGTACAATATTTTCACATGAAAGCGTCAAATACTTGTATATATAATATACCTATAATACAAGGCATACAATATACAATTTTATATTGCTAGACTGCAGTAACGGAGAGCGTTGGGGGTGTCGGTGAATCATGGAATCAATAACTTTTCGTGCAAAATAGTATATTAACTTCGCAAAAACTAGGGTTAAGTTTTTTACCTAGTTATTTGAAATACCTTACTTATCAGGGTGGTCAGAGTACTGCTGTGAGGTGAATTTGTTCGTAATATGTAAATTCTTTTTTTATTCTTCCAAAACAATTTCTCGGCCGATAAAATTCGCTTTTTCCAGTCCTCGATCTTTTGAGTTTGTTGAAAAGCCAGAAGACCCACTGAGCGAAATCAGGCGTTGTTGTACATCGGTTGTTCGCCCGTATTTCCAGCCACTTTAGACGAATAGATTGGCGCAAATGACACATAACGTTCAAAAAATATTTTTTGTTAACAGGCCCGGTGGAAGGAATTCATAGTGCATCACACCACAATAATCAGCTCATTTTACCTTTTGATCGCAATAGTATAATTTCGTAATGAATTAATGTAAAGGGTGTTTTTTAGACGTATAGAACTTTAAATTGCAATAAAACAACGATGGATTATTCGATTGACATGAATTTTATTTATCCGAAAGATAACCTTGTGGCATTAAATTTTAAATATGATTTCTGTCATATGACCGCCACGGCTGGCTCAGATGTAGTCCAATCTGGACTTCCAATTTTCGATGGCTTTTTCCAACATTTGTGGCCGTATATCGGCAATAACACGTCGAATGTTGTCTTCCAAATGGTTAAGCGTTTGTGGCTCATGCGCATAGACCAATAACTTTACATAACCCCACAGAAAGTAGTCTAGCGGTGTTAAATCACAAGATCTTGGAGGCCAATTCACATTCCAAAACATGAAATTAGGCGGTCACCAAACGTGGCTTTCAATAAATCGATTGTGGCACGAGTTGTGTGACATGTTGCGCCATCTTCTTGTAACCACAGCTCCTGGACATCATGGTTGTTCAATTCAGGAATGAAAAAGTTAGTAATAATGGCTCTATACCGATCACCATTGACTGTAACGTTCTGGCCATAATCGTTTTTGAAGAAGTACGGACCAATGATTCCACCAGCCCATAAAGCGCACCAAACAGTCAGTTTTTCGACATACACTTGAGGATTAGCTTCACTCCAAATGCGGCAGTTTTGTTTGTTGACGTAGCCAGAAGTGCGCTTCATCGCATCATACGATAAAATGAATGTAGTGCGCGATACGTACTTCGCACAGAACCATTATTTTTGAAATAAAATTGCACTATTTGCAAGCGTTGTTCAGGCGGTGAGTCTATTCATGATGAATTGCCAAACCAAACTGAGAATAAATCACTTGACAGCTGTTAAATCGGTCACCATCTTGAACAGTAAGGCCAACTTAAAGTTCTATACCTCCAAAAACACCCGTTAGAAAAATTAAAAATTATTAAACTTATCGGATCGCGATCAAGTATTTAAGTAATTGTAGTAAAAAACACATAACTCAGTGATGTGTGAACCTACACAGTCTGATGGCAATAGTTTTTTTTTTTAATTTTGCCACGATTCTGACGAAACTAAAAAAGTTATTCGAAAACTGTATATTGTCATTGATTCACAAAACATTAGTTTTAGATTAAAAAACCATGGTCATTTTGAATTAGCTGTATTTTTTTCAGAATTTGAATATTCAAAAAAGTTCTGGCTAGTCATAACTGGGGTTATAAACAATAAGTAAACAAATAAGGAAGGATTAAGTTCGGGGCTAAGTTCGGGTTCATACTCTTGCAACTTGCAAGGATCAATACCCTCAGGTGTTGGCACAACTTTATATTAAATATTAATAAAATAACAAAAATATTATCTCTAGAGTTTCAATACTAGAACCCACACACTAACCGATATCTTCGGCAAAAAGTCAGCCATATGCACACGTGTCTATATATTTGGCGTCTGCACCTTTGAAAGATTATAGTCCGAAAGGTTTGTTAGGATTAAAATAAATAAAAACATTGTATGTGTAATTCGTAGACTAAAATCATACAATACATT